TATTGCGGCTACTATACGTGATAGACCGAGTCCATAACATCCCATTTGCATTGGTCGTCTCTCGCCTGGAGTAGATGGGTCTTCTGGCGTGAACTCGGCTTTGAGAATGGATGAATATTTGGTACCGAGCAGAAAAGTATGTCCCACCTCAATAGCACGACTGCTTGTGAGTGGCATAGATGCTGAACATTTGGCACACAAATCACCTGCTTTGACATTGTGGAAATCTCCATCACGTCCCATAGTAAATAGTTTACCTCAGCATAATATAAATCATGTACCTCATCTGTTATTTCAAGTGGAATCAATTTAATGTATGTATCAGTAGGTAGACTATCCAAGTGTAAGCCATATCCATAATCATAAATACAGTCGTATGGAATCCATTCCAGATAGGCGTCATTCACTGAGTTTGTTTGCGACTGAGTCTTCTTTATAAACTCATCAAGTTGCTGATTGCTGCTAGTCCATCCATCTGATAATTGTTTATGTCCACAGATGCACCACGCTGGACTACATCGGAGTAATCCACATGCGGAGCAGAATCCATATCGAGAATAAGAATGGTAAAAACGTTTATGAGCAACCATGTAATGGCTGTTATTATATGTGGTAAATCCCTTTATGTGTTTGTTGCGTTCCTTAAGCCAGGTGGAATATCGTCTGTATTGACTGATACTCTTATTGTACTTGTGTGTTGGAAGTGAGTGTATTCTAGCAAACTCACTCACAAGCGTTGCTGTGCATTCTTCGCTACTTCCAAGCAACACCAACGTTCTCATTGTTTTCACCGTGCGAGTAGCGCAGTAGACGTTGTCAATTCGAGTTGGTTCTATGCCGGTAATATTTGAGCAAGAAATCCATTCCAGCCTTGAGTCTTCGTTTTCATTTTCCAAGAAGGATTGAATCAAGTTGTCAATTGGTGTACAAGTTGCTAAAGTTAAGACATCGTTAAATGACTTTCGATGCACTTCAGAGGCAGGCACATTCTGGTTTTGGGTTACACATTTATGTGAAGTGTCATGTGTGTTACCGTCGATTTCATCGGTAGTGTTACGGATGAGTAATCCCAACAAATCACTGCAAAAACCGTGAGATAATAATGTGTTGAGTGACTGTTTTCCACATTATCCTTATTCACAAAAAATAGTACAAAGATATCCATAGCAATTCACAAGAAACCCCTATTTTGCTACAAGGTTTGATTCCAACATTTATTAGTAGAACTAGTTGACGTAATACACTTGATGGATTTGTATCTCCAGCAGATGCCGAGAGAAAAAAGAGCAGATATCAATGAACGAAAGCTGTATGGAGAACCGTGGGAAGCCGCACGAGATATTACACAAAAGAGCCGTTCGATTTAACGGACGAGATATTCTCGGGATTTGTTCACTGAATTGCAAAAAAGTAGATAAGTAAATAATCAGACTGACGAAAACAGCATACTAACTAATAAAAATAATTATTAGGAAGGCTGCCATGTCCGTGTGTGTAAAAACATCTGATATGAGTAGTCTGCGATTTATACAAATTGGCTTAACAAGCAGAAATTTTATTTACATACACTTATCATGTATCTTGTAAACATGTCGTGGCTGCTAATGTTGTATGTCGGTTTGGAATTTATGTCCATTCCGAATGGACATGTATGTCAGATTGGAATAGTAAAGACAACCAGGTAACGACATTATAAAATCATTTATTGGCATTACGATATCAATCCTACTCGCGTATAAACAACTGAATTTGTTTTAAATATATGCTACTTTAACGTTTGTAAGTTTTAGCTTAAGAAATAACTAATCTATATAAGCGCAAGTAACTTATTACGTCTTTATATTGTATCGTTCATATACACGTGCATCTTATTTCATGATACAATAAATAGTATTACACGTAACAAATTACTGCACTGTCGATTATGACAGTTAATTATGCTTCATAACGTTTCGTTACTGTTCATATATGCCAATATTGAACATGAGGTGAATCGGGCGTATTATATTGTGACTCGACGCTTGCATACATTGTTTGGGTTGTAGTATATGATTCGGGTAAAAGAAAAATCAATGGAGTATCAGCAGTAAAATATATCGTAGTTTCATGTTTTTGTACAGTAGATAAATTAGCGATTAGATAACTCTTTTTATCACGATGTAGACTCGATAAAATTGGATTTGTCAAGATAATAACTGGACGTGTCGATATTTCTATATAGCTTTTGCAAACATATGAAATCTGATTATAAATCAGAGGGACCGAAGAGCCAGTTTCTAGTAAATATTAATAAATTACTGATAGCGTAAGGCAAAAATGCACGGGGGGTAAATTCATTAAGGTTTAGTGCAATCATCGGTTAATGTCAAGGACTTGGCAGCACAAGAAATTTCGTGTAACAAACAGCGGAAAAAACAGTAGCAGATAAATATAGGGCTGTAATGACAACGGAAGGGAAAAGATTTTTACTTATTACTAACACGAATAAGGTTAAAGCATAATGTAAGCTAATTTTTAGGGCAACTGTTTACCAAATTAGTGCAACAGGGAAATTCACAATGTCATGAAAAGTTTTACCATTATTGATGTGTTAGAAGTGTAAGTCAAAAAATAGTTTTGAGTAACAAAGTAGAGGACATTGCAACATTGCAGCATCGCGGATAGTCCACGCAAGATAATGTTCTCCGACTTCTGTCGAATACCTTATATATTGATCAGTAATAAAGTAAAGATCACTGACAATCTTTTGTCGAACACATTGAATTTTATGAAAAAAGCCAATATTATGTGACAGGGAATTTTTCTCATAAATTAGAACTGGAGTTGGAATCACGATATGGTGATATAGTGATATAGTTTATTTATTGATTTATTGATGTAATGTATAAAACCGACGCTAAAAAGCGTATCCACTGGGGTTAGTGCGGTTTAGGAAAAGTATAAATATGCAAAATCAGTAACCTGAAGAAATGAAAAACGATCGGATCATACTCGAAATAGAAAATCACGAGTTATGCCCGAAATTATTATAGCGATAATTGCAAGTGCCATCAACGCCGCTTGCATAATAGCTATTGTTTACCAAGTTTCCATGACTGTAAGGTTTACTCCATTAAGGTCTCTCATTAATAATAAGTAATTAATCCTATCCACATCGCTTGTATAAGCACATTACATCACATATGATTTGCTCGCTGATTTTCAACACCGATCAATGATAAGGAATTAGGTACAAAATACGCTGTTCGTTCTGTCGTCATTTTTTTTTAAACGCCGAGAATGGACATTAACGCCACTTGCATATTTATTTGCCAAATTTCCATAATCGTCATTAGCATAATTTTTAGTGCGTTGATATTCAATATAACGACATGCAGATATCAAGTCTTGTGGTCCACTACCATCTTTTTCTTTAAACAATAAACGGAATAATAGGGTCAGCACAATGTATTGTTTGTTGTCGTCATACGATTTGTTTATTGCCTGATAAGTTATCGAATAATTTGACGATTAAGTATGATAAGTCTCACGAACTAATATTTAGAATTAGTCAATATATTATGCGTACACTCTATCGGCTGACCCAAGTTGTGCAATTTTTTGCACGTGTAAATAAACGTTAATCGATCAGAGTGTTACACGATTCTCCATACAACAACGATTCGTTGAATAAAACTTTTAATACTTTATGTATACAAAAAAATTTTCGGAAATTAATCAAACTTTATGTTGAATATTATTTACACATGACAGCAGAACGTAATGTCATAATCAAAGTGCAGTAATTTTGCGTGTATTTCGTCATATAATGTTACAGTTATACAAATTCGATCGATCTATTTCCGTTGGAAACTCCATGTGGTGAAAAATTTGTGTGTTTACTATCGTTATCGGACTATCCAATTAAAGACGTTATTACGACAATAAATACGCATTCCATAACGCAAGCAATAATAAGACAAACAAACAGCATCCAGTAGCTTTCTTTACTAATATCAAACCGCACAACTATTCTAGTCGAACGAAAAATGTTCTATCACCATTGCGGTGGCGGTCGATAGTCTTATTTACATAATTGTGAACAGAAATTTTTGCTATCAACACGCACTTGTCTAATTTGTAAGATTTACAATGTATTTATTTTTAGACTTACGACTAATACTTTGATGTCTTGTTGTTTGCAAATAATAATAACGGTTTTTATGGTAAACCGTTCTGCAAGCAATTAGTTACACATAGACGTTCTCGACACTGCTGGCATAATAATTTTTTTTCTTGTTGATTATTTGGTTTTTTTGAACAAGTGCGAAAAATCTACTTATTGATAAATTAATTACTTGTAACGTCTCTTTGGAGGTAACATCCTTAACAAGTAAAAATGGCACATATTCTCAAACGGTATTAGAATAGAGTAACAGCCGAGCGCATGTTTAGTAACATCGAACAATAATAACATGACTAACCCATTTTTTAGTCCACGGACGTACATTTAAAAGGACATTGCTATGTTCTGATTCATTTTTGTAAAACTCCATCATTTTAGTTAGTCTTGTGAAAGAATTTGTTCGGTACCACTGTACCATGCGGTGTGGGTAGTAAAGGTTTTACAATATCCGATCATGATCTCGGGGTATATGATTAACATGGCATGGTAATTTCAACAGACCCCCGTTCTTTGTTACAGGGATCTTCAATACGGCGTCCAATAAAATTTTTCTGCATCATTATGATAACTGTTTCGGGAGAAAAAGTTGGTATATATAGCGTTTTAACCAAACTTCTTTTGGAAGAATCTAGTGCGGAGTCTTCCCAACGAGATCAACTCCGAACACAGCTATGAATGTCAGCACCAGCTAAATTACATTTAATATGTTCTATGAGGTAATTTACGGTTTTTGACTTATGTGTGTTTGTTCATAAAAAATATGGCATGTATAGAATGATGGAATATTCTTATAATAATGACGACAACGATGCGATGGTGATACATAATGTAAGCGTCACCGGAATGCTCTTTAATAATCATTTTGTATATACTACTGCCTGTTTTATCTTATTGTTGATATTGACAAATGGACCGTACAGAAAAAAAGTGTTCACCTGGCACGTGCGTCTCCTTGACCAAAAAAGTATGCGAACGTTATATACGGGTGGATGCGTTGTATATAATATATATACGTGTGCCAGAAAGCTGTGGAAAACAAAAAGTTCAGCAATAATAGAGTGTAAATCGCTTAAACTCTAGTAAACCATGCTAGCAAACATGAAAAAATTGTGCTTTATCCTCGTTTTATCTCTGACAACCGTAAGTAAATGATACAATGCGATCAGTTTATATATGAGACATTTGTTATTTCTGAGTTATAACATAAGCATCCCGATCAATGTCACTAATAACTTATCCTGCTTTTCGTTCGGTTTTTCTTTTACGTAGATACACGTCAAGAGTTTACCAGCAGGTAAGACATTCAATCAAATTTAATTAATAATTGCATGCATACCAGCGAGATGCACTAGTTTTTGTAAACAAATTAGGTACCGAAATATGCGCATTTTAAATTTTTTTTCTCTTTTCTAATTATAGATCTAATGGGCATTTTCGCAGTATCTGATGGTAACGCCCCAACCAGGTCGAGGCCTATTGGTAATGAGTTTATTAGATTACATTATGTTGTTATTTATTACTTGCCCATTAAAATTTTGCTTACATCTAATATTTTGTCTTTTCTCCCATCAACCAGCCGTCGAATCGTCCCAGACCACCGCTGGCGTTGGTCCTACGTTTAATTCAAATGCTTTCATTAGCAAAGTTCGATCTATTGCTATTTTCACCGAAACAAGTGGATCAAGTGAAGCAAAAGAACCAACCAATTATAATATCGCACTCACCGTAACAAAGTATTCAAATAAAGCAACAGCATTAATTAATATACCTACACGCACCAGATCAAGCAATTCAAGTAAAACAACAGCACCAACACCCACCGAAACAAGTCATTCAAATGAAGCAATAGCATTAACTAATCTTAAATCATGCGAAACAACCAAGACAAGTGAAGCAACAACATCAACTGATATCATTACACCCACAGAATTAATAGTACCAACTGATATTACATCCACCTATTCAATAGCACCAGCCGATATCACATACCACCGTCTTTCTACGCCAACGTTTACTACGACCACACCAACAATAATTGTTTCCAATAGCCCTACTCTAATACCGACGGTTGCCGAATCGAATAGTGCGATGAGAACTAATTCAAATAACCCTTTCCTTATGCCGACAAGTAACGCGGCCAAGCCAACAGCAACTACTTTTAATAACTTTTCTACGGTTACCGAGTGGATTAGTACCGGTAAGACGTTTACTACGAGCAAACCATTAACAAGTATTATCTCATCACCCACTTTGGTTGTATCTAGTGGTAAGTCACAGTCACATTGAGTAATATTAGCAACATTTTTATCAAATTATATTTTATTTATTATTACCACTAAAATGTTGCTCACAGCTTATTCTCTTTTCTGTGTTATTCTCCATCAATCATCAGGTAAACCGTCTTCGACCTCCGACTCCTATCAGCACTATAACTAGTCCAAAACATTCCCCCCTTCTTTTGTCTTTATCAATTTCATTATCTTTAGTCCTACTGCTGCTACATCGATGAAGGCCAATCTACAATATTAATATCACTCACTGTCTAATAGTTTAATAAATTGAAAATTTTTAACTTATAAGTTACTTTTCTAAATTAATTATTCTTCTAATCAATTTAATTACGCCAATATGAGTTGAGGGTTAGGAAAATAGCTGTGTACTGGTTACTGGGTAGATATATATAGAATATATAATTATTACGGCATAGTTCCCAAATTAGAATTTTTGTGTACCAGTGTATTGTTGTAGTTTTGGGTAAGTAAATAAACTCATTTACATAATTCTGCTATTATTTACAGTCCCCGAATAAATAATAACTGCTTATCAATGCAATTTTTACAGTATATTTACAAATAAACTAACTTTTGGCAGTAGTAAATTTTAATTGTATAAAGTGGTGATAAATTTTGCGAAAAATTTTAACATATTTTTGATACTTAACTTTGAAAAAAAAGCAAGCTAATTTACTAACTTTAAATTCTTCGTAAGGTAGATTTTGTTGCTTATAAATAGTTTGCTGAGTATTGGAAGTTTAATTTGTTAACATTAAATAATTTCTGTCATTATTTCCTGATTCAAATTTTCTGAGAGGCATATTTTTTTATTGGTTAATTAAAACATACTTTTTTTTTTGATATAATACTTTTTCTTTTTCAAAATGAGATTAACTTCATATTATCTATTAGGTATTTTTCTTGGTAAATCTATTGCGACCAGTAGCTTTTCAGTAACCCACATCCCACAACCTCGTAATAATAAAGTTGTAAATAGTAGTAACATTACCGCTCTTGCTAAGAATTATTTTACGTTCAAAAGTGGGTTAAAAGTGGGTTAGTTTACGACAGAATACCAAAACGTGCAGGTTAAGAGACAAGTTTGCTTTCGAAGAATTTCCAATTAAAAAAAAATTGTCGTAGACTTTCCATCCAATCAGAAAAGTTTTGTTACGTGTTATGTGTCACGACCAAATTCGTCATAAAATTCGACGGATTATTATGCGGAACGAACTATGGGGTTTTGTTACGCCATAAAAATGATAATAATTTTGCAAGTCAAAAAAAAAAAAAGTGTAAAATTCCGCTGACTGGTATCCCACTCAGAGATCTTTATTACTATCCGCAACAGATTAGCCCTGTTCAACGCGAATTTGTACCAGTCAATTAAAATTGAAAACAAATTTCATGTTTCTCTATTCCACATATTATTTCCGTTGTTTCCTTTACAAAAAAAAACATATTTACGAAAGCCATTAGAACCCCTTTTTTGCAACATAGTCTTTTATTTTATTTTTTTAATAAAACCGTGTGTGGCGGGGATGGAAACAGATGAGCGTTGCAAATTTCTGGTTCCGATCATGTAATTTTTAATCTGCCAATAAGGAGACGACACAAATTGAACAGTGCTATTATAACACGCTTGCGCACAGACAAAAAAGAATAAAGTTTTCTCACAATCTACTAACTTATTGGCAAGCAAAGTTGAAACTTTTGCAGGTGAGTGTAACAAAGTTTGGCGCTTTGGTTTTCTACCAATTTACTTAAACATGGGATATATATTTTGTGTTCTTCAGTCGCAAATTCTCTTTGTTCTAAAATTTATTGGCAGTCGCAAGTGCATGTCTTTCTTCTTCACTTGGCATGTTGTACAAACGACAAATCTCTGATAATAAATGAGCATTCTGTAGTCCAAGCATTAATCAGAAATTTACCTGTCACGCTGTACAGGCTCAAATACTATTCTTTCATTGGATGCTCAGCTTTATAGATAGAAATATTATGGGCTGTATAACCTGTGCAAGATGTGTGATTATCAACTGATAGATTTAAGAGATCGACGGTTTGCCAAAATAACATCCGCATGTAACTAAACCCATGACAATGAATAGAGATTTTCGAAATCGAAATTTTCTCTGATTGATTGGCACGCTGAGTTGACACTCTTTGCCCGTGAGTCATGTTAATATCGTTTCAAGGTTTCTCGCGATAGTTAATATTGCATCAGATATGTTCCCCAAAAGTTAAGGTAAGAGGTACAACAATATTATAGTGACACATTGTAGATCAGTCTAAATTAATCCATGATTTGAATGGCGGATATGCTGTACGATATATAAGTGATATCGCACAACCCGTAGACCCAAACATTATCCCTTTATTGGATGTTCAGCTGACCTTTCGTGCATGTTATTGTCTGAATGTGCGACGTAACACCCTGATATGCTGAGAAATAATCTCTCCCCGAAATTCTGAAACTCTGGAATCTTTTGCTTGAAAGTCTTTATTAGAAAACCATGTTTGTCAGTTGAATATATTCGAGTAATCGCCGATTTGATTCAATCCTCTCAATCAAACGAAAAACTTGAATGGATTCCCAATTGGTATATCACGAACGTAAAGCCAACTCAAATTCACAACGTCTACAGCGAAGATAACGTTAGTGTTAATTGGAAACAGCAAAGAATGCACGCCCAGCGTTTGTGAATGGGTTCGCTAGAAGATACTCACTACCGACCGACGAGTACAGCCAAAAAGTGAGACGATTTGGGCGATATTATATGTCGAAACACAGCGTTACGAGAATTCACCAATATAACGATAACTACTACATGATTGCTGATGAACGCTTTTACCATTATTACTTTATTTACGGATTCTGTTCCGCCTGTGGCATTTTCCAATGTAGTCCTGTGTGGTGCATCTGCGGCCGTAAAAAGTTAGCCGATGGTTGGACTAGCAACAACAAGAGACTCGATGAGTTTATTCGAAAACTTTCAAAGACAGACAAACTCACCAAATGAACACTATTTCGAATGGATGACGTCAACGGTGTACACTTGGATAGTATCAGCACGTATGAACAAGTAGAGATAATCCCTCTTGATATAAATGACGAGGCGAATGATTTATATTTTGCCAAGATGACTATCAAGTATGAACATATCATGTAAATAATATTGACTTTGTGAAAAAAGTGTCTGACGATGACGCTTGCTGAACTTTTACTTTTAAACATAAACAATTAATCTTATGCATCGACTTTTCGGACAGTAACCAAGTACATTCAAACAGTTTGACTAATTTTGCAACCATTCGCTTTGCGAAATTTGCTGCAAGTTTATTTGATTATTATTTTCCTGGACTGTATTATGATTTTTGTCCATAACGTTTTGCAATAGGAAATTGCTTGTTTTGTCTAATAGAATAAGAAGTTGCGCTCACGTTTGATTGATATAACGTGGAATTGTTTAAGTTTGATGCATTCGGGATAATTTTAGTAATGTGGGCAAATTTATTGAATAATTTGTTATTTACTAGTTCTTTTCAATCCCAACCTTGCTAGTATACAACATTGACTCATTATACAATGTCATCTATTGATTTACAAGCTTGTCCGCAAATTTAATGCGGTAAGATGGGTGATTGGTTGTTAACTATGGCAGATAGAACAATAATGGCAAAACTTTTAGCCAAATAAAGAAATGTAATAAAGCATTCCAAATCAAGAAAGTTTGCATAATCGCACGAGGCATATTGAGTAGCGAGACAAATTATAATTTTTAATAACAAATGAATTTTTGCCCCAATTTTTAAAAATTTAATTCACAGTACTACCTTTGCTGCTAGATTTATAAAGCTACTTGCCGAAAGCAATCTTGTTTTGTCAATAATTATGTAAATCAAAGTCAAATATCGTATGAAAGCATTCGGGTGGGCTTGGCTTTTATAGAAAATAAAAAAAAAAGAGTCAATAACAAGTATGCTCTATAATAAATTTGATAATTTGCTGTCTAATAAAATTTAGTTTCGACAACATGATGATTAAAATTAACTTTTTAAAATAATTAAACAAGTAAATTTGCATATACAATAATGTCTAAAACTGTAAATTGGAAAAAGGGTACATTAATGCAGTATTTTATTATTCGATTTTACATTTTTGGCAAATGTGTGGTGATATATACTAAGAAATGTTTCAAGTGGGTTAAGCATTTATTTGTAGATCAAGCTGGGTAGCTTGATCTACGAATAAATGCTTAACCCACTTGAAACATTTCTTAGTATATATCACCACACAATAATACTATTTATTCTATTCCTGTCTAGCTCTTTATGAACGCTTTCAAACACAATACTTTTTCAACACATTTGCTAACTGTGCTAACTACTATGTTAAACCAAATGGGATAGTATAATTTTAATAAATCTATTATCTTAAAATTTACTTTCTAACGTTAACGTTTACGTTAGAAGAAATAGATTAATGTTTAAAATTTTGTTTGCAAACAAGCGTAAATTTTTAACAAACCAAACGTGTAACCATCCTTTATTAATTTTGCTAACGATTACATCTTAAACTCTTATGCTGTTGTCATCAAAGTCTATTTAAAAGCGTTATTATTGATGAATCTCAATAGTCTCTGTTCACTGTTTACATTTATTAACTTTATTGTTACGTATAAAACAGGGAGCCAGAGTAACATTTCTTTGATATTTGCAATGGAACAATCGGATAATTACCCAATTTTGACAAAGAGATACTATTTGTTCAAGTGTCAAAAATAGAATAATATACTGCAGGGTATCTCGCTACACGTCTTACTTCTATGCAGCAGGCCAACCAGCATTACGTATTCTTCAAAATGCGTTTGCATTAACGGTACATAAACGCAAGGCCTTACAATTACTTAAGATTACATTAATTCTTAGACAGTTACATGGCCAAGATTACGTCGCTGTCCGTGTGATACAAGGGTGCAATCCATAATTGAAGAGTATAGACGTTTGCGAAAGTTAGCTAAACAAATCTGCTACATAAACTAATATCTACTGTTTATAAAATTCTGCAGTTTGTAAAAACTAGTTCAATAAATTTTTATATTTTAATTAATATATTGACAACTTTAATTTCAATAATAATTCTTTGTTATACCATTGAATTATTATTATACTTATACTTTACCCGATTGATAGTCGGTCGGGCTCAGCACAACTTCTCTAGTTATAAAATACACAGTGAACTTGGATATAATGAAGTTTGGATATAACGAAAACAACGATGCTTTTTTTTATGTTTCGAATTTTGTCTAGTAAATTTCCTAGATATAACGAATCCCTCGATATAACGAAGAAAAGTGTCTGCACAGTCTCCTTCGTTATATCCGGTTTCACTGTGTATACCTATTTATAGGTTTTTATTATTTAATATGTTCACTTTCTTTTGCTTTGCCATAATTCTTATGTCAACAACGTGGCAAAGTATCTCAATTCGGCTTTTAAAGATAATTGGACTGCTTTGTTTGGGAAACAAAGTTACATTATTGGAAAAGGGACCGGTAAAAACCCCACATACAATCGGTGTTACACAATCGAAACCTGTGCATACAGTGAAAAAAAAAAAACAAAAACGTAAAACTTGCATACAGCCGACTATGTTACATGATGAATACAATATGCATACAGTGAAAAAAACGTAACAATAAATTATATTACAAACGATGTTTAAACCAAAAACTGCGGCAATTTAACATAAGTTTGGCGTTTTAATTTTAAATGTTATTATTTTATACTGAAAGTTAATTTATATATAAGGCTCTAGAGTCGGGTCGGTCAACTTGTCTTTCTAGTATCAAAGTTTTAAAGATGCAAATTTTTAGTAAAAACCGCAAGACTGAGCCAAAACTAATTCAAAGATGTCGAATTTTTACCATGGCTTTATTTCTTGCCATGTTGCTTGGATATACAACTATTCTTGTAGCGGATGTCGTCAACGATACTCCAGTAATAAAGACAGATTTGAAATCAGTAAGCGGCATTCCGCTCCCAACAGTAACTATTTTGTTTGACTACAACTTTACCACGAGTTGTGTATTGCTATACAACAGTAAGTAAAACTCTAAACAAATAATGTTTAATTCTTACTATTGAATGACGAAGCAAAAGTAGAAATAAAACTTTTATGAGCGTCTTCTAATAGACCAATTTTATCAACTATTGAGAAAAACGTTGTAAATAGCCCTAATATACATTAATTTATTTTACAAGATGGAACATCTTCAAACGTGGATGAGTGCAGCCAGTATATCAAACAACAGCCGCCTACAGTGCTACCTGGCACTAGCATACAAAAAAACACCGTTACTTTTACACCTTCGCTCGATCTGCATGTCCAGGCAGCAGATAATTTGAGCGGACTGTTTGGAGCCGTGTTGGTTAATACTGTAACTGACCCTGCTTTTGACGTAAACAATACTCGCAATTCTGATTTAACATTTGGGATGACTATAGTAGCGAGTGATACAGGTAAGCTTACGGTATGGAGCAAAGAGCTATGATTATTTGTTGAAAAAATATATATTACCTCATTAACCTAAGACTTATTTTCTCTGCATTATCATAAAAACAAGAATTTTCAAGCGACGAATATAATGACACGCTTATCGAAATTGATAAAATTGACCCGACATTGAGTACTTCGTTATATCAACAATCAACGTATAGTCTTTCTTACCAACAAGTTCATATTCTGGCTTACAATCGGAATGAGAGACATATAATCAAGCCGAACGCGCTTGCTACTATCGGTATGCCATCTGGTCTTATTCGTGTACCTTATATCACTACTTCATTAGGTAAGCTAAAATGTGTAAAAAAAGTCTTTAAATAGTTCAACAATAATAACGCATAAACTTGTGTTCTTATTTTAACTCTTATTTCAAACCTATGCGTAGAAACCGGACCATTGTCATATCATCCAAATACATTAAGTTCTGACCGTTACGGGGGAATTATCATAAAAGCTAGTAGCTTTGTTGTCAGAACTGAAGTAGAGTTCAGGTGAGTAAAGAGCAAACTATGCAAATTGGGGCAAACAGGCAATGTTACTATTGCTAATCTTGTTTACTTGACATAATAATATCATAGATCACATACAGTGAGTTTCGGTAGTTTCATTATTCGATTATTCTCAAAGTTTTCTGGCATAATATTAATTAGTACCGTCATGTGCAGGTGCTTAGCTTAATCGGTTTACTCGGTGGTGCATGGGGCCTTTCTGTAAGCCTATACGCTATTCTCTTTGGTAATGCCGC